CCTCAAAGTGCACAAGCGACCAACTTGAAGCGTTGGATGCGATTTTGAAGCTGAAATCGCGTTTGGTGTGAACGCAGCATAAGTGGCAAACCAAATGGCTCAAATTGATCAGAAGCGCCGTGAAAATGGTCGGATTTGTCTCTCTGGCTGCAATGTGCCCTCCCGACACATGGGAACTGAATTTCGCACAACACTGTCCCCCATAAGCTCGAGGCGTTAAGACGCATGCCTGCCTGCTTTCCGTAACGTGACAGCTGACTACAGTCGGAAAAAGAGCGCCCCGAACGAGACACTCTCATTTGGCTTAAAATACAGATGTTCTGACTAATAAAGAACTGTTGGTAACCTTACCTCCGCTTAGAAAGCAGTGTGTGTTGACCTTTTCTAAGATTCAGCCATCGGTGCATGATGCTAATGTTTACTCACAATGCTAATGCTACCTTTATTCTCTGGCTCCTCAGGAGCGAAGGAGCCAAATGGCTACCTCATTGCTGCCAAATAGCGGTCAGAGACTAAACTACAACATAAAAATTAACTGTTGGCAGGAAAGTTGACATTTTAAATCTTAATTAAAAATCGATACAGGGCTTTAGAAAATCGATACAGTATTGGGAAATGAAATATCGATATATATCAGTGTTTTGATATTTCCCTACACCCCTAGTGTTCATACTGATCATAATCAGTTAAGTACTACATAATGACATGGTGCAATCTGTTTAGCACTTTTGAACACAAGGTTAGACTGAAATAATTTTAGCACCTGGTAAACAACGTTGCTTTTCATTATCTCCTAAAAGATAGAAACTCCAGAATTTATAGAGGGTGAACTCTTTTCCCAATGACTGAGCTGCAGTGGAGAAGATTTATTGGAGCCCTAAATGCCTGGTAGGTGAAGCTTAACATCAAGTCATACATTGGATCCTGCTTCAGGCCTGCTGGTGTCATCAAGTCAGTGATTGTCTGAGGAGGCAACGGAAGTTGCAGCAGTTCCAGTTACTCTGGTTCCTTTATCAATCATAAGCCTCATCCTTTAGAAATCAGATCAATTAAAATTAAAACCCCAAAAGCATATTTTCCTCTTTTCTGCCCATTGCTCTTCAGGTATGTCAGTGGCGCAATGAAAACAAAACACTGACCAAGAAATAGGTACATGTACACACACTCACACACCCACACATGCAGACCATGCATAATGTCACTTCCAGGCAGGGGTAAACACWGTCCTGCCAAATGCCTTCACGCACTCCCACTGTGAGAACTCAGGACACAGAACATGATACAGAGATAGCATCTGGACGTCATACAACCAGTGAAATAAATACATAACGAAATGAAAAATAAATAGACCATTGCGAGGCMAAATGATGGACGGTCAATAGCGAGCGTTTCAACACTGAGAATTTTTTGCTACATCCTTATGTACAACCCTGCAGCAGCTGACTTCCTCATCCCACGCCTCTCAGCTAGACTCCCAGATTAACCCCTTCCCCATTCAGAGTCTTCTACAACTTTGGGTTCTCCTAAAACAGTCTCAAATGTCTTTGAAGACAAAAACGGATTCTCCAGTACAAGTGGCATGAGGACCAGACGTGAAAGTTCGTAGAGATTTCATAGATGCACTTCTGCTACAGAATGCAGTCCATTAAAAACACAATGTGAGTGGGCACTGGAAAAAAGTAAATGGTAAGGCTCTTTAGCTAGTCAGGGATGACCCTCAAACACATGTGTGAAAAGTTATATCATTATTATATGATAGAATTCAAATGAGGGTTTACCTCTTGCTAGTTATGTGCATTGGCACTTAAAGCCAATACAGTTCAACAAAGCTCTGAATGGCGCTTCAGGGATGCTGAAGGCCACCGTCGCTCTGTCCCATCCTTACCAGCTGTATTTGTTCTCTTCAATAAATTCAAAGTAGCCCCTTCCATGTTCCTCCCGGCGTCTCTTAACACCCTTCTTATTCTTCTGATCAGCATTCGTGTCTTTGTCCGCATCCCCTTTGAAAATAGAACAAAGATATAGAATGAGGTGCTCCTTTTTGAGACACAGAGAGAGGTCGGACTGGCAGTGGGGTTCTGGCCCACAAAGCCCGTTCATTAATTACATTCTGCGACCATAACCATCAATAATGTGTTTGTTTTTTTTTTATAAAAGAAAACACCTCAAACGTTACACTTAAGACAAAACAATCATAATTCATGACTTGTGACAATTATTGTAAGACCAGGTAGTAATTAGAACATAAACTGGCCCAAAATGAACATTATGAGTAAGTTTTCTGGGGCCGGAATGACATTTTATTAAAAGAATAATAACCCTGTAGTACAGGGCTTAAATATATCTTGTTTTTGAAGCCTTTACGATGGTCCACTGTGATCAGGGACAATGGATCATGCAGGGAAACCTACTTGAACTAGAATAACCTCATCTGCCCAGTATATTATACTATATTGCCTGGTTCATTACAAGTAAACATTAATTGTCTGTCTAATCTCAACAATTATGCTGGCTTCAGATAAACTACAGAAAAACTACCCTTATTAGATTGCTTGAAAAGTTCAAGGCCACTCCTTTGTAACGCAAAGCTTTTGTTAGCAAGTTCAAAGGTTCCCAACCCTGATTCAATTTAAGTGCACATCTTAAACACTGTAGGCCATAACCACTACACGCCCAGCTCTAAAAATTACATTAAAAATTAATATCTTTGTTCAAATAATAGTTTAATGCTAGGAAGCAATCGTCGACCACAATCCTTAGTGGTAAAACACGATGGGAACCTTTCAAAAGGCTAACAGGCTAATAAGCTAGCTAGCACAGCACCAGACACAAAGGAAATGATGCTAACTAGCAAGCCGACACCTTAGCCAAACGAAACGATAAGGACCAAATCCTGCTATTTCACTATATTTGAAGAACTTCCAGATGTTGAATCAACTAATTATCATGAATTGATGGTGTGCAAACTGAGCTACAAATGCTTAAATAGAAAATAGTTGCCTAACCAAGGTGTTAGCTGATGCTAACCCTGACTAGCCTGTCACGCTGTCTGAATCAACATGGACGCTGTGCTAAGAGGTGACAACCGGCTCCCCCACCCCCTCCCCGGATGGGAACCAATTCTCCCTCTGCAAACCCGGCAGTTAGCTACAATCAATAAAAAAACAAACAAAAATATTACCCCAATTTATCCGACTCACCCTCAGCCGTCTGGTTCCCGGGCTCACCGTCCTCTGCGTCTATTTTCTCCATGTCGTCTTCATCTCCCTTTAGCATGGGATCCATGTCGTCCTCCTCGTCCCCTTCCTCTTCCCCCTCACCCATCTCTTCGTCCTCCGCAACGACAGCTTTATTGTCGACCTCACTCCCCGGTTCCTCCTCGTTGGCCTCCATGCTCTCCTCCACTGGGCCTCCTTCCTCCTCGACTCCTGGGCCTTCTTCTTCCTCTCCCATACCCTCCTGGGTGTCGACGGCCTGGTCGAAACCCTCGTCCGCTGAAGCTTCTTCCTGAGCCGCACCGGAGTCTCCGGCGAGGGCCTCCTCGTCCAGCGCGGCCTGCAGGCGGTCCATCAAGTCGGCCTTTAGCCCCTTGTCGGAAAGGTTTCGCTTTTTCAGCTCATCCTTCAGCTCGTTAACTTTAAGCTTTTTCACATTAATTGAGCTCATCGTGAACAGTTAACAAGACCCGTTAAAACCCGTCGATAAATAAATAATATTTTTTGCTAAAATATGTTGATCAAAATTACGCAAAATGTCGCCCGTTGTTAAACCAACCAACGTCCACGACAGAGACAGGCACCACCTGACAGCAGCCGACTTCAGCGTAGAGCCTGAGATAGTAAAAAAAAAAGGGTGTGGGTTGCCAGTTACAAAATAACGAAATATTGTACTTCCGCAAAAAAAGATCTTATTTTAACCAAAATTATCATATGTGCTTATGGAAGCCCATTTCCGCCACCCTGATAAAAAATAAAACTTGTATCTCATAATTATGACTTAGCTATCTCAGTCATAATTATGAGATAGCTATCTGAGAAAGCTATCTCATAATTTTGAGATAGCTAAGTCATAATTATGAGATAGTATCTCATAATTATGATAGTATAATTATGATATAATTATGAGATGATAGCTATCTCATAATGATGAGATTCTATCTCATCATTATGACTTAGCTATCTCATAATGATGAGATAGTATCTCATAATGATGTGATAGCTATCTCATAATTATGAGATAAAAGTTGTATTTATTTTTTTATCAGGGTGGTAGAAATGGGCTTCCATATTTGCTAAATGGCAAAGCGCTTTTTTAAACCAACCTGAGTGGGCGGTAGGGTTGGAGATGGTGTGGTTGGAGAACATGCGGAACGGAAGGAGGAATGTTGCACATCTGGCAATCACACTTTCTGTCTGGTCAGATCAGATGATGGTATTCTTGTGAATAAAAAACGATCCCCCCCCACCCCCCATGGTGAGCGGAAATTCCAGCATTGTGATATACTTGAGTTAAAACCAAAAACTGTTCATGGTAAATCATACAAACCTTAAAACTGTTGATCTAAGCGCAATAATTGTTTCATATCTGGCAACAACTGGAGAGGAGGAGCATAGAGTGAAAAAAATTTGTGCAAAATCAAGGCAGTTTCAGATTCAGCCCGCCAACTTTTAGATGACCGYATTTTTTGCAAAAAATGACACTGAAACATCAGACCACCTACTTTTCTTTTGTGCATCTGTACAAAACTCCTGAAGAGAATTGCAGACGTGGTTTGTTGATACATTTTCATCATCTCCAGTTTCTCTTTCCAGATATGACTTCACCATCGGGATATTCATGAAAAACAAAGAAGATGAACTCTGTGTTAATGTTGTTTTATGTCTAGCCACGTTCTAGGTTCACAGGAACAAAGTAAAGCAATGTCCCCCTAATTTCACTCACTTTAAAAATGACCCTTTTTTTTTTTGTATGTGAAATCCTTAAAACTCATCCTTAATTTCTGAGGTCCTAAACCTCAGAAATTATTTTTCTTTTTGAACAATGTTTGCCGCCTTATGCTAAAATCAGATGTCACCCTTACTAGGTTCTGTTTGTTCCCTTAAAATGTAAAACTATTGTGTTTATAATTGTGGACCATGTTTGTTAACGCATCACATGATTGTTGTTTGTAAGTGCGTGTGTGTTGTTTAAAAAAAAAGAAGAAATGTTCAGCCTGCCAACCATTGCTGTTCACCCTTTCAAAAACAGTGTGTGTGTGTGTGTGTGTGTGTGTGTGTGTGTGTGTGTGTGTGT